AAATTTATAAAGTAAAAGCAATAAAAAAAAAGGGGGGGGGGGATCATCTAAAAACATTTAAATCTTATTTTTCGATTTAAACAGAAATGATTTACTTTTCCAGCTTTTTCTTTTAAAATGCACAAGAATTTAAAAGTGTATGCCCGGGTTAACAACCAAACTCGACTCCCTTAGCTAAGCCACCTTATCCCAAACAACACTCGAAGCATAAAAAAAAAAAATAATAAACAAAAAACCCAACCGAAACCAGGTATTCAATTGCGTGTTTCTCAGGAATCTAACTATGGACTGATAATCTCTTATGGTATTAAAATGAGTTTTGACACGGGAACATGCATAATGTAAAAGTGATTTTTTTTTTTTTTTAAAGTCTACACATGTTTGGAGATTTATTTTTTTTTTAAAAACCAGGCCAAGGAATAAAGTAGTAGTAATGGATAATACAACGATAACAAGAAAAAAATTGGGTCAAGGTATGGATAGCACACAACCTGTTATGACATCTCAGCTGTAGCTTGTGAATTTATGTAATTGTATTTGGGTTTTTCAAAATATGTCTTTACTTTTAAATATGTTTTAAAGCATTTTGTCTTAATATACATATACATCTTAAGTATTGTTATAGCAACAGCTTTCTTTCCTGCAAAATCATTCAAAATCTCTCTAACAACTAGTACCGAAACCGTTGAACACTGTAATCCCCCTTTTCCTTGTGCTCGTGTCAGAAAAGATCCGTTATCCGGAAATCAAGGTCAATATACGACAGTCTAATCGTTTCACTAATGACTCATACAGAACTGCCAGTAGTAACGTGTTTGAGATATCGACATCATGATGAGATAGGGACGTAACGATGTCTGGCTGGAAGGTTTGGACAAGAGTACTATTTATTATCAGACAAGTCGTCACCTTATTCGCACTATTAGACTGAGGCCGTGCACGTCGAACCCATGTGTTGCACACTGACAGAATTCAAGGCTAATTTTTTATAACAAAGGTGAATAGTAACAGCACATAATAAGTTGCTTATTTCAAAGAAACAAAATAGTTGTTTTGTTTGAAATCTCTTGACGCTGCGAAAGAAATTGACACTAAGTATTGCTAAAGGTAAGTCTTGTTAAATGTTTAAATATCTTGTTAAACAAGTTCAATTATTGTGAATTTATAGAATCGGATTAACGAGATTTTTTTTTTTTATTTGTTAAATGAAAATTTAAAAAAAATTAAATGGCAATCAGTGATTTATATAAAATGAATTTAGTAATATTTGTATTAATGGAAAGAACATTCAAATTTCCAAACAGGATTTATTACGACACAATCTTACTTCAAGGCTATTGTCCTATCAAGGTACAGTTCGATGGTAAAGTTTGTCATCAGGGACATGCTGTATGGAGTCAGATACTAAAATTATGCGTTTAATTAGAGACATTTGAAGTGGAATCACGCAATTAGATAAGTGATAAGATGGCAGAAATGACGCACCATGGGCTATCTTGCAGCTAAATTACATACCCGAAGTTGCCATCTTTACATAACCATATCCATCGTCTCTTGATACTTGCCCTTGCACCTATAGCCATGTAACACAGTTACCTGCAGTTATAATCTTTAAACAGCAACAGGCTATCATTATCTCTGCAGTTATAATGTGCAACTAGCCACTTACAGATGTTACCTGCAGTTATCATCTTTGAAGAGTAACAGCCTATCATTATCCCCAGTCATAATATGCAATTAGGCCTCTACAACAATTATCTGCAGTTACCATGTGTATCTATGCTTATACAGCTTATACATTGCCGTAACCATATTTACTGAAAGTTACTCATCCGTTATATCTAGATATTATATGTTTATAATAAAAATCGCCTGTAAAATGTCTTCAAATTTCCGGCTGAAAAATATCTTGAAGCTATAAAAATATATGAGCTTCACGTTATTTAGTTTTTAATGAATAGGATTGAGAAAAATATTCCAGATTTCTAGATGGGTATTCTACTCATTTTTGTCGTCTGCTTCACTGTTTTAAAAGGCTGCCATGCCTCTGCGATACCAAAGGCCTCAGACCGTCCACACTGTCTGTCCACCAAGGTGGACTTCGAAGGCATCCTCGTCACGTGCCACATACCGAAATCCCGAAGCAAGCCTCGTTGTGAGATCTGCGTGCTGTTCAACGATATCAGCACGAACGAGGACCTGGACACACCATCGTACAACGTCACTAAGCAAGATGGATACACTTCCGGGGCGTGCAGCCTGACTTACTACCCCCAGGAAGCAGGATATTACAGTTTCGTCATCGAGATATTTCCATTCGGGGGCAAACTCCACACAAACAAAGTTTCAGTTGTCAGCTTTCCGACGATGTCTTTAGAAAGGCTTGCTCCTCCTGCCCTCCACTGCGGTGATTCTGATGTGACTCTGAACTGTACATGGGCATGGCTTTGGAAACCTGACCAAATAAACGTAACCATGGAAACGGACCGTGATGTACATATGTCTAAGCTAACTCGCGTATATAGTCAAGGTGCTTATTTCATATATGAGATCATTTCAAAGCTAGATTTTGGGTGTGAGAGTAGAAACGCTGTTATTGAGTGTAAGGCGCACTATCGTGTGACCGGATATGGACAGCGCGTGCGAAGTTTGGCCACCGAAATCTTCGCACAAAGTCCAGGACTCGGAGTTGTGTTTAAATCGGACCAGGGGGAGGTTATAACGAGGGAGCATACACTTCTCATCGGGGGACACGCAAAAATAACGTGCTCACAAGCTAGTGGCGTAGAGGGTCAAGCCGTGAAGCTAAACGTGACATGCGTTGGCTCGAATCTTAATATCTTGTTTAACCGGATATCGACGTCTCGCGTGAGCTTCCCCGTGTATGGTAATCAAAGCTATCACGGGGTCAACTGCGATTGCACGGTCCATCTCGACCGAGATCAATGCGTCACAAAGAGGATTACTGTTCGCGTTGTGACAGAGGCGTACCCAATCGTTTTGGAAAGTCAAAGGCGGATGATCGAACTGAATCCAGTTTTCCAACACGAGAACGGCTCGCAAGTTTCGGAAGTGTATTTAGTTTCCGGAGATACGAACTCCAGCTTTCAGTGCAACGTGTTCGTGTCGCATCCAATCAAATTGCAGATAAATGTCACGTGCTGGGATATCAACGGAAAAATCAATCTGAAGTTGATTCGATCGGAAGCCCCCGTCCCATTTCAGGTACACGGAGACCGCACACATAATTGGATGGCATGTCTGTGTACTGCTTCAGCCACAGCTCTATCAGCCGCTATGTCCGTTAAATCCAACACCGCATTCTTGTTACACAAAGTAAACATTATCACCTCAAACGACGTATCCGATACCGCTAACACTGTAGTCCGCATGGGTAGAACTAAAATCAGTATCGTTTCCGCCTATTATTTATTAGCTGGTGTAATCGCAATCGTCCTACTTCCCTTAATAATCGCCTCCATGGTGTATCTGTGTCTCGCTTGCAAGGAGGGCAACATTTTGTATTCGCCGCCGAACTCTGGTTCGAATTCAGGGCAGACCCGGAGCAACAGCTGTTACGACTCCATAAGGGACACGACGAAATCGTCAGCGGAGTCGTCGCCCCTCCCTGCACAGGGGGCGGAACCGCTGCTTGACAGCACGTCTACTTACGACTCACACGACGCGTCGGACAGCTGCAGCAGCGTTCAGGAGCAGCGCTACTACAACACGACTTCTGACGAACAGGACACGGGGTCCACGCCAACTTCAAACCCAACTCACACTCCATAAGTGTTTGGTTGGTCTTACTCAAGAAATCTTAATCAAGAACCACTCCATAAGTGATTGGTTGGTCTTCATCAAGAAATCTTAATCAAGAACCACTCAATAAGTCATTGGTTGGTCTTCATCAAGAAATCTTAATCAAGAACCACTCCATAAGTCATTGGTAGGTCTTCATCAAGAAATCTTAATCCATAACCACTCCATAAGTCATTGTGTATAAGTAATCGACAATTAAAATACAGACCACACTGTCACGCCAAAAATACTTGTCTAGTCCAAATCAGTTGTTTTTTTTCTTTTTCCAAATGAAACTTTTCTCATAAATCATTCTTCAGACCCCACAAAAAATTGTATTTAAATCATGTCCCACTACTTTTTCATGAATCATTAATCAATCCCATATATGACATAATCATCTGTTTTTTTTAAAAACCAAGTGTATCATATAATAAAATTTCAGAGCCAAATGTCATAGTTCCTTTCATACCTTAAGGCCGTGGTCTGCAAATCGAGGCTCAGGAGCCACATGCAGCCCTGTAGTGTTGTGAGTACTGCTCGGTCAGTCGGACACAAATCGGTTTTGTCTCCGAAAAATATGGCTCTTGACAGTTTCTTGAAAACAAATTTGGCTCTCAGAAAATGTTAATCGTTTTGCTGCCGATTCTTTTGGGCTCTTATGACAAATGAGTTTGCCGACCCCTGCCTTCAAGCAATCGTTTTTATGTTCATTTCTATCTCAAGTTCCACCACATTTATCCTACCTCAGCGGCCACCTTACATACCCACCGTTGCTAACAGCACAATAAAACTTACACGTTCCATCAAGATGATATCGGTTGATCCTATTTTTTTTTATTATTGTGGACTGACAGGAAGTATTCATAATGAGACTGACAGGAAATTTTCATAATGAGACTGACAGGAAGTATTCATAATGAGACTGACAGGAAGTATTAGAATGAGGCTGACAGGAAGTAATCATAATGAGACTGACAGTAAGTATTCATAATGAGACTGACAGGAAGTATTCATAATGAGACTGACAGGAAGTATTAGAATGAGGCTGACAGGAAGTAATCATAATGAGACTGACAGTAAGTATTCATAATGAGACTGGCAGGAAGTATTCATAATGAGACTGAAAGGAAGTTTTCATAATGAGACTGACAGGAAGTATTCATAATGAAACTGACTTGAAGTATTCATAATGAGACTGACTTGAAGTATTCGTAATGAGACTGACTTGAAGTATTCATAATGAGACAGACTTGAAGTATTCGTAATGAGACTGACTTGAAGTATTCATAATGATTTTGACAAGAAGGGTTCATAATAAGACTTATGGGACGTATTCGTAATGAGACTGTCGATAACTATTCATAATGAGACTGACAGGAAGTATTCATGATGAGACTGACCGGAAGCATTCATAACGAGCCAGACACAGGTGTTCAATGTATTTGATTCTTAATTTTGTTCTTACAAATAACTTCCTTGAGAGATAACAGCGCGTCTCAAACCTGTCAGCCTGCTCGTGGACGGCCACCTCCAACTGAGTTGAACTAAAGATACGCAAAAAAAATTGTGTTTTCAAAATAAAATTTATAACAAATTTCAAGTTGCTTTGTCGTGTGACTTAATCCATAATGAAAACTCAAAAACTAAGACCATCGGTGAACGCTCCTTCTGCTTCCATGGGCCCACGTTCTGGAACCAGCTCCCCTTCCATATACGTCATAGTGAAACCTCGTCCATTTTCAAAAAGTCCCTTAAAACTCATCTGTTTAGGTCCGCCTATGACCTGTGATGCACCCTCCTTGCCCTACCTCATTTTCTGTTTCGGGTTGATCCTGAAGTGTCAAAGTGTCCTCGTTTTATAGCCATTTTCATTGTTTCTATAGAATAGTAGTTACTATCCTAGTGTCTCATTTGTATTTACTTAGTTTACATGTTTTAATAATTGTAAAGCGCTTAGAGCTTTATGATAAGCGCTATATAAAAATGCCTAAATAAATAAATAAATCAATCCACACTTATTACGAATTTAAAAGAAAAAAAAATAGTTGTTAAAATCTATTTTCGCGCAAGCTACGTCGGTGTGTCTAATATTTGTGAAAAGAGATTGAAAAGTAAACAACCTATAAATGATGAAGAAAACCTGACTTGTTTTGTTTTCATCCTGTTTGCGTTACATGGTGTATTGTTTACATTGTGGATTATTTACATTTTATATTGTTTAAGTTGTGTATTGTTTACATTGTATAGTATTTTCATTGTGTATTGTATATATTGTGTATTGTATATATTGTGTATTGTGTATATTGTGATTTGTTTACATGTTTTTGTTTCTATTTTGTAATTGTATACATTGTGAATTGTTTACATTGTATATTGTACCTATCGTGTATTTTTTAGACAATCTGTATTATTTACATTATCTTTTGTTATTAATATTCCTAAAAACCTAAATTGATATGAGTTTAAATGTCACCATCTACAACCTTTTGTGTGTGTGTGTGTGTGTGTGTGTGTAAACCTAACCTTGAATTCAGTAACGACCTTTGAACTCCTGGCCATCATCACATTAATTCAGTGTTAAATACGAACGGGTTCCTAGAAAAAAGCTTTGCTTTCATAAAGTTTATCAAAATCATTTTCATTTGGTTCAAATGTAAATGTGCACACTTTGTTCCTCGGTTTCTGAATAATTTTGGAAACATTTATCGCAAATGTTTACCAATTAATATTTAACTCATCCTTATCATCAGTGGCACTACAGCACATGTAAGGCACTGGCCTGCTCCTACCACATCCTTCCATTCAGATCGATCCACGGCTTTTCACCTCAATTCGCGGATCCCTAACTGCTATAAGTCCTGCTCTACATATTTATTCCATCTCAGTCTTGGTCGACCGGTGAACAATCTGCCCCTAGGTTTCTGCCTGTAGATCATTTTGCTGGTGTACGAACATGGCATCCTTTCAGTGGGTCCTGTCCAGCGCAATATGGCTTTCTTTTAATTGTTGCAAGCATGGTTAAGTCCTTGTACAAAATATATTAAAGTTTTTTTTTTTCCTTTTGTTAGTAAATTTTTAAACAACGTAAACATATGGGGTAAAATATTTGTTATTTTTAAATTGAAATTTTTCAATTCTTTTCTTAAAAGCACCTTTAAAAAAATGTGAACCTACAATTCGTTATTTTCTTTAAAACACTTCATGAACAGGCAACAGTCAATTTTTTTACTTTCCTAAAGAAAGGGCGGGCGGGGCTATATAGACCTAATCTAAGCCGTTTAAACATTATTAAAAAAAAAAATTGTCTTAAGAAAGAATGAAACAACGCCAAGATTCTACCATCTCAAATAATTTATTTGTTAAATAAAAGATGTCATCAAACATGTTTTTAATTTAAAAACAAATCTACTCTTTCGATATTGAAAAAAAGAATAATAAAATAAAACTTCTCTTGGACACATCCGATCTAGCTGAGAAAGTCTTTGGTATTTTCACTAAAATTATCTGGTAGCCACTTGATGGGACAGTCTAAGAAATCTTTGCGTCACCTCTTAACACTAATAAACTCCATTGGTATTTGCTGTAAGTAAAAAAAAAATAATAATAAATCCACGAATCAACGTTTTAAGAATATAAAAAAAATTGCTTTTGTAAAACTAGTGAGTGGAATGCAAATATTTTTTTAAAAATATCTTTATGATGTAACATCACGAGATATCAAGAGTGAATGTGACGTAACACAGAAATAATCCCCCCTCAGCTCTGATAAAAGAATTAAATGTTGTGCAAACGCATTAATACTCACACTAGAACATAAGCCTTAGTACAGACCTATTAGAAGAGACACACCAGAATAGTTGTGCTAGGACAGACAGACTTTTGAAGAAACACACAAACAGACAAACTAGAGAAGATAGTAAAGACACACTAGAACAGACAAACTAGAACAGAAAAAGTAGAACAGATACAATAGAACAGACTAAATTCTAATGACGCACATTAGACATACATTTACACAGAATTACTACAACATACACACTAGAACAGACACTAGTACAGACCTACTAGAAATGACACACTAGAACATACATACTATAACTGACATGTAAGTAAAGACACACTATTACAGACACACTAGTACAGACATACTAATTGAGACATACTATAAAAGACAAATTATTTCTTTTTTAAACTACTACAAAGACACTAGTACAGTCAACCTTAACTAGGCACAGCATTGCAGTCCTACTAGTACAGACTCACTGGAAGAGATATGCAGGTGTACTACTTAACTTACACTATAAAAGTGGAGCAAGTACAGCCACACTACTACTGACCGTCTAATACAGACATGATAATGATAGCACAGAGAAAATAGGAATACACATGACAATACACACACCACTGTCGTGACATAGAAATACAGAGACGCAAGAGGGTAGACATAAAAATACTGAGACATTAACACATGCACCTTTGTTCACGTGCACTGACACAATTTAACGTACATGGTTGTGAAAACCGTAAGTGCAACTTGAATATGGATGATGAAACATATAAACCAGTGCCTAAAAAGTTGAACAGACATGCTAATACAGACACAGGCTAATCAGAAACACAAGTACAGACAAAATTGACAATATTTGCTAATGCAGCCACAGTAGTACACATAGTTCAACAGACACAGAAGTACAGACACCCCAGTACAGATAAGTTTGAGCTGACATGCTGGTACAGATGCGCTGAGTAGGTTTATCGCAATATTAAGTCAACTATTTGATGATATGTTGGTATGATGGACAGGGTGATCCATTCTGGAGATAAGTTTGTGGCGTTTCCTAAAAATAACGGCGTAAAACAGTACTGTGTTTTAGCCCTAAAACTTTTTTTGCAATGCTGACTGATGTATTTCTTCACAATAATGACAGCATTTCTTTAAGATCTATGACCAATGGAGGGCTTTTTAATCGTTGGAGACTGCAACTATT